CATCCATCTTGATAACTACAAATGAGAAAAAGAATGCTCAGATAAAAGGTTTTGATATTCATGCTCCGATCAAACATTATGGTCTGACTATGATAAATAATCTTGATATTTACTCTGGTATCTATTTCTTTTTTATGATTACAAAGCGGGAGAAATAGAAAAGGAATCTATCAACCTAAAAACTTAATCTATCAACCTAAAAGAGATTAAGTGAAGGGGAGAGTATAGACTAAGGGGGAGAACCTTAGAACCTTAGAATAATAACACGAGGCCTATGTCCGATATAAAATACGTGAATGAAGTTATATTTGTATCTGAAACAATTTGATAGATTATATTTGTCATCATCAAAAAGGGGGAGATTGTTAAGTCAGATGAAGCAATTCGTAAGCCCCACTAAGGTTTTGAATGAAAACAAATATAATGCATGTTGTTGTTACTAATGTGTGTATTAGTGTTTAAGACAAATATTAGAACAGGGATTGGGCTAAACCAAATATCATACAAGACCAAGCCAATGTACATGATTAAAGCCTATGAAATCATCAGATGAAGACACCTATACAAGAAATAAAGAACAGGACATGAGCAACCAACACGAAGGGAAAAAGCTAACAAGATGTTAGATAAGGAGATCAAACAATCAAACGAAATCAAGCCCAGCATAAGAAGGGAAATAATGAAGACTCAAATGATACAAGACCATGGACGATGGGCAAATCCTAACAAGAGCACCCTAGATGGAGACTCGAATACACAGACGATGGTCAAGAAAGCTGTATTGCGTCTAAAGACACAACGAGGCAAACTATCTAGCATCCACACTTCTGGAAGAACACATTAAGACATCAAAATAGAAGAAGGAAGATAAGAAAAATGGATGAGCGCTTATCCACAAATCAAAATAGCGTATGTCAGAACAAGTACACCTGCCAGTCAGCAAAAGACAACACCCCTGTAGCAACAGTACTAAGAAAGTACAAGAGATCTCGAGAAGTGAAGATTCAGTAAGAAAACAATAAATGTTAAGTCAGAGGCATTAAATGTCATATTTCATGAAGACTATACAAAACAGATGAGAGAATCAGATGATAAGAAATTAAGCATAAGGAATAAATCGACCATTACTAAAATGAGACATCAAAGTATCAGACGAAGCCTATGAGGAATAGTCAAGGAAAGACACGAACCAGTAAAGTCAAGACAGATGAATCGAATGACATAAGAAACCAAGCGTCAAGAGATGAATAACTGGAACACAAACATATACCAGATGATCGCAAAATAATCAGAGAAAGCCATGTCAAGAGGAACTACTATAAAGCACAAATTAGACGGGGGATGTGTCTAAGGCCAAAAGGAAAACAATCATACATCAGACGAAAGTTAGCACAAACTAAGAGACACACTAGAAGGAAACAACATTTGGTCATTCACATTGTTAATCAGACCAAACAAAAGTCAAAGCACTAAACCCAAACGCTGAAGTACAAGTCAATCCTGAAGTGCATAGGACCATCAGATGAAGACCAAGTGATGGAGTTTTTCCTTCCATGGAAGAAGACGATGGTTGAAAGGAGACTCCTTGCCCTTGATCTAGGTTCACCAAGGGGTAGACAAAGGAAGGTTTTTGTGGGACAAAGGGAGATGGGTGTGAAAAGGAGGTGTTGGGCGGAAGTGTTTACGGAATGGTGTTTGGTGCTCACAAGGTTGGCTCACTCCAAAAGTGAATGAAGGCCACTCTAGGGTTCTCACTCTCCAATGGGGGAGATAGGAGAAGGTTAGCCAAAGAAACCTAGTGACTAAGGAGAAGATGTTGAGGCATGAAATGCTCACTCAAAATCTATATATTCCAAAGTATTTACAAGGTGTGGGGTGTTGGGTATTTATAGGAGGGGGGCATCTAGGGTTGCATTTGGAGTAGGCAAATGCATTCCAAATGAAATGCAAATGAACCCTAGATGCAACTTGGTGGCCAAGGATGAAATCTTTGGGTTTAGATTGGCTATATCTAGGTGCATGATAAGACCATGCAACCTTTGCCCTCCACTTGGGCCTAAGCCTTTCTAACACCAAAAATAGACCCAATGACACCAAAAAACATGCATCACCCTCTAATTAACACCCTAGCCCAAAATTAAAAACCTAATTATCTAGAGCACCCCATAATACAAAGGCAAAATGGGAAATACAAGGAAAATAAATTCTAAGTCCTAAGCACCCCAAAATACAAGGGTAAAATAGGAAATTAAAGATAAGGGCAAAAATAGGAATAAAAATAAATGCTATAAAAACTTAGGAGCTAAGGCCCAAAAGTAGGCTTACTCCTCCTATGATTTTTCAACACTAACCCATTCCTCTTGCTTCCTTCAATATATCACCTCTTGGTCTTCTTGGCCTTAGTGTTATTCCATCACGAAGACTGGGACGTAAGCAAACAAAGAATCACGTCTCAAGAAACAAGCGAAGGTATCCTTTATAAATATCCCAGAGTGCTCAATGTAAAATACATATGAAGAAATAAAGAGAAGCACGCAAAAGTAGAGCATGCATGTGTCAAAAAAAGTACATTACTTTTTCAAAAGAGGACAACGACTATATTTCTACAAGACCAAAAAAAGACAAATAATTTCTTGGTCTCAGACAAAGTCAAACACTGCTACAATAGGATTGAGAAAAATACACGCATTTTATATAAATGGGAAGCAACATTTAATGCAAAGAGAAATGCATTAAATGAAGAAATCAAACTAGTCGTCAACGACTATATCTGCTTCAACAGACATATGCAACGGGAAAATTTCACAGGCCTATAAATATGCATATCATAAAACAAGAAGTGGCTTGGCGAGAAGCAATGGAAGAATAATCATAGGCTTTGCCCAGGGGCTATTTACTTAATAAAAAAAATGATAGCAAGCCCACGAAACAGAGAGACCAGAGATGAGCACTTATAGTCATATGTACAATATAATATTGTAATTTTATCTCTGTAAACTAAGGTGTTCAAAATGTTAGTTATGAACAAAACCTTAGTGAGTGTTGTACACCTATGTATCCTCTCCATGAGAGTAATCCAAACACTCAAACATGAGTCTCTGTAAGACTAAGGTAACAAACCTTAGTGAGTGTAAAAATTCTCAATCCTCTCTGTGAGAGTTATGTAAACACTCAAACCCAACCTACTCAGCTAATGTAATAAAGCTTGAAGAGGCTAGGGAAAGAATACTTGTCAAAGAATACTCACTGCTAGCTAGAAGTGGCTGATAAGAAAATACTAGCGTTGGTGAGTGAAGCCAACGGGCTAGGAGTGGTCGACAATACTTGGGGAACCAGAATTGTTTTAAGAATACTAGCGTTGGTGAGTGAAGCTGACAGGCCAGAAGTGGACGAGAATACTTGGACCAAAAGTGGTGTAAGAATACTAGCGTTGGTGAGTGAAGCTGGCAGGCCTGGAGTGGTCGAGAATACTCGGGCCAGGAGTGGTCGAGAATACTCAGGTCTTGGAGTGGACGACAATACTCATTGTGCTTAATTTCATATATATAGTGGAACCCTTCTATTGAAAGACACTGGACGTAGCTCAGATGAGCGAACCAATATAAATTGATTGCACCCTTTATTTACTTAGACGCAAATTTTCATTACTGATTAAACCTCTGTGAAAATCTTGGTTCCAAGTTTACTTATTCTTAAAACTATTATTAGACGAAGACTGTAAGTCTACTTGATAAACTTGTTACACTAGAAGTTTCATTGGCTGCTTATCCATAAACAAAACTATCTTAAAAAGGGAAAATACAAGCAATCTTAATCATTACTACTATATTTTCCTAGAGTAGACGATACATTTTTCAGACGCAGTAATACTCTATTAAGGAAATCTGCATAACCGTTTGATATTCAAACGTGCACTGGACGAAGAAAGCTACTATAGCAAAAACGTTGTTTTAAAATACCTTTGTTCACACACACACATATTCAACTCCGCCTTCTATGTGTTTTTTCGCTAACTTCACTCTGTAAGGCTATGGAAACAAGTCTAATTAAAATAGGTCTTTTATGAGAACTTTAATTAAGAGCTAAACTTTTTTAAGAGATAATAGTTATTTTTTCTTACAATATGTATGGAACCACATCTCTTATTCTTTATTATGTTGAAATTTCATATGCTTAGACAAATTGAACCCCATATGTAATATTAATATCTCATTGGAAGGCATTTGTATAAAATATTGTCTAATGGTATCATGTGTTTATTCCTTATGAATAGATAAAATGATTTTATGTGTTGAGACTTAGAAAACTTTCAAAGATTCATGAGTTTTAGGTGGGTGAGAATAAAAGAATAGAAGAATCATGAATTTTAAGTGAGAGGAAGAATAAAAGAATCATGAGTTTTACATTTTATGATTTTTTTTATCTTTCTTAATATTGTTGATATTTTAATTTATTTTCTATCATTATAATGTTATTACTAATCTTTAATGTGTGCAAAATTTGTCTTCACAATTTTCTATCATTAAGTTTTATTTTCATTTTTACCAATTGACATTACTTTTACTTAATAGTTTCTTAAGATTTTCTGCTTGTACTAGTCATAAGGAGAATTTTTTTTTTTTTTTTTTTTAATTTTTCCTCATTCTTTTTAATTATTTTTTCACTATAAAGTGTATTAGTTCATTTTGGAGGCAAATGACTTCAATGATTAATACGTAGGTAATTTACCTACGGAAATTTCCGTAGGTAAGTTACCTACGGAAATTTCCATAGGTAACTTACCTACGGAAATTTCCGTAGGTAACTTACCTACGGAAATTTTCGTAGGTAAGTTACCTACAGAAATTTCCGTAGGTAACTTCCCTAGGCAAATTTCCGTGAGTAAGTTACCTACGGAAATTTCCGTAGGTAACTATTTTCAACAGATTTATAGGATTGTTTGTTCCATACCAATCATTGTTCCTGCTCAAAAATATAAATAAAATCACTTTTCAGATTTCTTAAAATATCCTATAACCTTATATATATCCTTCAGTTAAGCAAATTCAGTTAACCACAATATGAAATCAAACATCTTTAAAATCAAAATACCCATAGCAATTATGCATAATTAGTTTCCATGTCATTGTGTAAAATAAGATAATTTTAAAATTGTACAGAATAAAATATGAATAAAAATATCCATAATCTATAAAAAAAACTAATAGTCATCCCCATAGTGTCCAGTAGGCGGTGGTTGTTGGTCATTGTGGTTGTCATGAGATTGTTGATCCACCTGTTGTTGCAAAATATGTTGTGTATCAGAAGGTAGGAGAGGTAGAACAGCATTGAACAGGGATTGAAACTGGCGTTGCAAGCGTTCATTTTGTTCCCTAGATTGACGAGCCTCCTCCCTAGACTTACGGACTTGCTCTTCCAATTGAATAATTTTCTCTGACTCTTCAGTAGCACGCCCAGAAGATATATTTATCAAGGTATCCACATCTGTCAATGGAGAAGTGACTTTTCCAACCCCGTAAAGTCGTCTTTTGTCTGTAATCCCACCAGCAGCAACAATCCAACTCTTATTGCGGAGTATTTCTTGCTCAACTGGGTCCATAGGAGACGTTTCAGAACCTCCTGTACAAGATGCGGCCTCAGACCTAGCTTGATTAAATATAGTTTCAAATTGATCCTGTTTCATAAATAAAGATGTTTAAATGTGACATTTATCAAAGATGATTAAAATTAAAAAGAATAAAGCAATAATACAAAAAACATAACTCACATATGTTCGCTTAGATCTTTGGTCGACAAAATCGCCTGTAACCTTTCGTACATGAGTTTGGTGGAACAACTCATCAACATGTGGAAGGCGACCCAACTCTTGTGACTATAATTGTATAAATAGTTAATCATCATATTTCTAAAATTATGTTGAATAAAATATAGTAGTTGTTTAATGTAATTACCATCCGGATAGCATGCTCGTGAGGGGTGATGGAGCCACCTGTGTGCAGACTTCCACCTTTCTCAGATGCTCTATTTATTTGAGCTTGGATACTCTTTGTTTTAAATTCTGGGGCCATCCACTGGGCAATCAAACTTTGCCAAACTGTATCAAACATCCAATCAGGCTTTTAGTCTTTGCAGCCACCTCACCCTCTATCTAATCAATAAATATTTTTAATTAGTTTTATTTTTACACAATGTAACAAGTGTTTGATGATTAGAATATACAATTCAATGTCCACCATCACGAACCCAAATTATAAATCACTTTGTGGAAAAACTCTTGTCATCAAATTTTATAAATATAAGTGATCAAGTAACCATAAAAAGGGATTAAATTATAACCATAAAGTTGCTCAATCACAGGGTTCATGTTTGTGTTCAAAAATACCAAATATTGGTGATGAATCTGTTTAGAGATATAAAAAAAATTCCTCAGCCCCTGTATCTAGATATAACTAGTTATGCATATTCATACTCAGACAAATTGCATACATTTAAGGGTCATTAGTTCCTGAACTGAATTGGCAATTATTGTGGGACAATATGACGATATTGAAGAGAAAAAAACACAACCTAAAAACTTAATCTATCAACCTAAAAGAGATTAAGTGAAGGGGAGAGTATAGACTAAGGGGGAGAACCTTAGAACCTTAGAATAATAACACGAGGCCTATGTCCGATATAAAATACGTGAATGAAGTTATATTTGTATCTGAAACAATTTGATAGATTATATTTGTCATCATCAAAAAGGGTGAGATTATTAAGTCAGATGAAGCAATTCGTAAGCCCCACTAAGGTTTTGAATGAAAACAAATATAATGCATGTTGTTGTTACTAATGTGTGTATTAGTGTTTAAGACAAATATTAGAACAGGGATTGGGCTAAACCAAATATCATACAAGACCAAGCCAATGTACATGATTAAAGCCTATGAAATCATCAGATGAAGACACCTATACAAGAAATAAAGAACAGGACATGAGCAACCAACACGAAGGGAAAAAGCTAACAAGATGTTAGATAAGGAGATCAAACAATCAAACGAAATCAAGCCCAGCATAAGAAGGGAAATAATGAAGACTCAAATGATACAAGACCATGGACGATGGGCAAATCCTAACAAGAGCACCCTAGATGGAGACTCGAATACACAGACGATGGTCAAGAAAGCTGTATTGCGTCTAAAGACACAACGAGGCAAACTATCTAGCATCCACACTTCTGGAAGAACACATTAAGACATCAAAATAGAAGAAGGAAGATAAGAAAAATGGATGAGCGCTTATCCACAAATCAAAATAGCGTATGTCAGAACAAGTACACCTGCCAGTCAGCAAAAGACAACACCCCTGTAGCAACAGTACTAAGAAAGTACAAGAGATCTCGAGAAGTGAAGATTCAGTAAGAAAACAATAAATGTTAAGTCAGAGGCATTAAATGTCATATTTCATGAAGACTATACAAAACAGATGAGAGAATCAGATGATAAGAAATTAAGCATAAGGAATAAATCGACCATTACTAAAATGAGACATCAAAGTATCAGACGAAGCCTATGAGGAATAGTCAAGGAAAGACACGAACCAGTAAAGTCAAGACAGATGAATCGAATGACATAAGAAACCAAGCGTCAAGAGATGAATAACTGGAACACAAACATATACCAGATGATCGCAAAATAATCAGAGAAAGCCATGTCAAGAGGAACTACTATAAAGCACAAATTAGACGGGGGATGTGTCTAAGGCCAAAAGGAAAACAATCATACATCAGACGAAAGTTAGCACAAACTAAGAGACACACTAGAAGGAAACAACATTTGGTCATTCACATTGTTAATCAGACCAAACAAAAGTCAAAGCACTAAACCCAAACGCTGAAGTACAAGTCAATCCTGAAGTGCATAGGACCATCAGATGAAGACGAAGTGATGGAGTTTTTCCTTCCATGGAAGAAGACAATGGTTGAAAGGAGACTCCTTGCCCTTGATCTAGGTTCACCAAGGGGTAGACAAAGGAAGGTTTTTGTGGGACAAAGGGAGATGGGTGTGAAAAGGAGGTGTTGGGCGGAAGTGTTTACGGAATGGTGTTTGGTGCTCACAAGGTTGGCTCACTCCAAAAGTGAATGAAGGCCACTCTAGGGTTCTCACTCTCCAATGGGGGAGATAGGAGAAGGTTAGCCAAAGAAACCTAGTGACTAAGGAGAAGATGTTGAGGCATGAAATGCTCACTCAAAATCTATATATTCCAAAGTATTTACAAGGTGTGGGGTGTTGGGTATTTATAGGAGGGGGGCATCTAGGGTTGCATTTGGAGTAGGCAAATGCATTCCAAATGAAATGCAAATGAACCCTAGATGCAACTTGGTGGCCAAGGATGAAATCTTTGGGTTTAGATTGGCTATATCTAGGTGCATGATAAGACCATGCAACCTTTGCCCTCCACTTGGGCCTAAGCCTTTCTAACACCAAAAATAGACCCAATGACACCAAAAAACATGCATCACCCTCTAATTAACACCCTAGCCCAAAATTAAAAACCTAATTATCTAGAGCACCCCATAATACAAAGGCAAAATGGGAAATACAAGGAAAATTATCGCATAAAAAAACACTAGAGCCGACCTCCTATCAAAGCTCACCAGTACCAAACGCCCTGGACAACATCGAACCATCATCTAGGAGACCTTGCACTCACCCAGCCTAGATGACAAAGTCGTCAACACCAGCAACAGCGAAGACTAGGGTTAGATGACAGGCATATGGAGCTACTTGAAGGCAGGAGTTTTGCCCGAAGATAGGGACGAAGCTCAGAAGATGACGTTGAGGTCAGCTAAGTTCGTGATTGTCGGCGATAAACTGTTCAAGCGTGGCATCTCCACCCCACTACTCAAGTACTTAACTGCACCCAAATTGCAACCCCGGTATAGCGTTGTCCACTGCAGCGATCGAATGGCTAAGGGTTTTGTGATGAATCGCACGAATCTGGGCAAAGGGGTCTCACTGTGTCGTTGCTCCTCCAAGAACCTTCGCTCCTGGACCAGTGCGTTTCGTCAGAGCGGAAAGTCGCAACCCTAATTCTAAATAATACAAAACCTCAATGTCTTCAGCAACCCCTAACTCAATGCAGTTTAAACGCCGCGTTTCTTCTGTTTAGTTACCTACATAATTTTTTCCGTAGATAACTAAACTTTACCTACGGAAAAAATTCCGTAGGTAATACTCTATAGATAACTAAAAATTACTTACGGAAAAAATTCCGTAGGTAATATTCCATAGATAACTAAAAATTACCTATGGAAAAAATTTCGTAAGTAATATTCCGTAGACAACTAAAAATTACCTACGGAAAAAATTCTGTAGGTAATATTCCGTAGATATTAACAGTTTTTCTTGTAGTTTTCTTTGTAAATTAGCACGAAAATGAATAGTACACACTTAAAATTCAATTGTATTAAAATAAGGGAGTTGCTACGGTACCCTCAAAGATTGGGAATTTCAATACATTTTTTTATGTAAACTCATAAAAAGATCTTTAAAAAAATTAATTTAATTATAAAATGAATAATTGAAATTATATTTATAAAATAAAAAGTAAGATAAAATTATAGACATTAAAATTATAAAATTTTAATAATGTTATAAAACATTAAAAAAGAAAAGAATTAATAAATAGTAGAAATAAAAAGTTATTAAAATTACAATATAGAAATTCAAAAATTTAAGACAAAAAGACAAAAATATAGTTAAAAAATAATTCAAATTAAAATATAAAAATTCAAATATTTTAAGTGAAAAGACAAAAATATACTTAAAAAATTATTAAAATTAAACTATTTAAATATAATACCCTATCAAATAATGTGGGTACCATAGAATTTCTCTTAAAATAAAACACACTCACATTCAAATAAAAACCATTTCTGACGTGAAAATGTTTTTATTTATTCAAATAAATAAAACTTTTATTCAACTACGTTAAAGCATAGATGCGAAATTTTTTTGATTTATTTAAATACATAAATTTTTTATTCGAATACGTTAAAGCTTTTAATCGAATACATTAAAATGTAAAAAGAAAATATTTATTCGAATAAATAAAACTTTTACTCGTTAAAATATAAACTCATTCGAATAGAAGTACTTAATAAAATTACGTTTATTTGAATGAAAGTTTAAAATTTTATTTATTTTATTTCACTGTTTAATTAATTAATTTAATTTAAATTTATTATTTTAATTAAATTTTAATATAAAACTATTATTTAAAATTATTAACTTAACTCTGATTAGTTATTTATTTTATTTATTTAATTATAAATTTTTTTATTTAAATGATTAAAATAAAAAAT